TTTTTTTTGTCATATAGATGTCAAGAGCAGTCTGCCGTGTCTGGGACACATTTGGATTTCAGCTATAAATATTTGCAGCTGCGAACTGGCGTATAGCCAGAGCCTGACTAGGAAGAGCCCACTATGCTGACAATATTATTAGCTCTCCTTGCCTCGGAATAATCTGAAGGAGTGTGTGCATTCACAATTTCCCCGGAACAATGACGAGAATGATCTCAGTTCCACCAATAGGAACAAAGCCTGTGGTTACCTTGGAGATCTGCGTCAGAGCTGCTGACACATTTCTCCCTCCCATCTCAATATTTGCTCTAGCAGAAAAATATGAAAGTGAAAGTAGATGGCAGGAAATAATGTAGTTTATTTACGACCAGAATAGAATTATCAAAAGGGGAAATCATTATGAGGAAAGTAGGAGGTGATCACGTATCTGAATTCTTGGGTCTGTATATTGCCTATCTAACTGAAAATTTCCATTTCTTCCTGCTGACGGCTGATTGTGATACTGTGCTGCCGATTGCCGTTTATTGGTATCACATTCAGAAATGCCATGTCAAAGTCGCTAAACACTTATTACGGAATCTTAAACTTGAAATATTCAGATTCCAAGGTGCCTGAGGTAATTTGCCAATATAGCAATTATCTTAATGAGGTTTTCAATGGCGCATAAGATCAGTACATTTCATTGTTGTCATGTATAGACTTTCTATGAAAATCATCATTTCAGAACATAATCTAAAGCTAACCTTGGAATCGCAGATTTCGCGGCTGAATGCTTCAGACTCGAGGGCATTTCCTGCACTGCAAACAGAATCAGGTGACTCTCACAAATTCCTTGCTTTTCCTAAATTGCTTCTGTATCCTGCAGGTCTCTGAGACACATTTTCTTCTCTGGTGTTTTTTACAGTGAGGCTTTGACTAAAGTCCAGCTTTGAGCAGGGCTTTAGTCAAAGCCCCACTGGCAAAATCTCTCAATGCAGACCTTTTTATGCCATGTAGGAACCAATAAGAAAAGAGATCTCATAACAAGGACCGGAAAGCACAAGACTGCATTTATCTTGATGATCTTCTCCAGAGCTGATGAATCATCTGTGTCGCTCTCCTTACCTTGTATTGTGAAAAGAAGCAGAGCAATTGACAAAGGAACAGAGGATAAAATGTAATTTACCCTGCATTTTGCCTCCAATTAACAGCCAACTAAACTGGTAAAATGTAGCAGGATGAGCCAGCTGGCAGATGCTTTTCCCTTGAATCTACCTATACATGGAAGCCTTCATTCCTCTGTGAGGATTTTTGATTGTGAATCTGTGCTGCCAATGTATCTGGCTTCTGAATCTTTGTGATTTTTTCTATGTTTTTAGGTGTGGTTTTTATGCACTCAAATTATAATAAATATGTTACATATAATATGATATTATGAATTACATAAAAATAAAAATGCAATTATGATTTTTCATGTAGTTTAATTATAATACACAATATATTTAAGTTCATTAGAGGGCTATACGAGGAATTGGGGAGACTGTAGAAAGAAATGTAGATTTTAAACCTTCTCTCATATAGACCCAAGTGTAATATAGTAGCTCACAATGTCATAATGATAAAGAAATGAATTCAGTTTAATTGTTTTCAGAAAAAAATAAACATATTTAAATTGGTAACATTTGTGTCTGTTTGTTTTAAGGCTTATAGGTATTTGGTCATTTACATTTTCATGAAGCATCCTTCATATTTTTGTTTCTTGCATGCAAGCAATATACATAATTATCCTTTAAATAATAATTCATAATTATTTATTTAAAAAAAACACGGGATTCAAAATATCAGAAGTTTTCTCTAAATCTCATCAGAAAAATTAAAAATTATATATATATAAAATAAAAAGAGATTTTATATAAGAAAGTTGTATGTCCACCAGTTTCACGCCATCTATTGTTACATCTATTTCATGGCAAGCCACTCTGAAAATGTGTACTTCCATTAGGCCTGCTATGATTTTAGACACTGCATAAGCTACAAGAATAATACATTTAGTTCCATTTTTTTTTGGAATTGCATTGGGGCAAATGTTCTTTTATATTAATCAAATACTGGTTTCATGTAGTTGTTTATTAGAACTAGAAGATATGAGATGGGATTTCTCCTTTGACTGTAATGTGCCTTTCTAGCCTAGCTGGACAAAAATACTCAGAGAATTTCCTCTTTCTATAATTCTCTAATATTCTGGAATTGCATAATACCAGCATGCTTGCTTTAGAAAATGAGTATTGTGAAAATGTCTTCTAGGTTGACAATATGAGCATGTTGTTGACTGTCTCAGGTTACAATGTAAACATAAAAGCAAAAAAATAAGATAAAGACTATAACTCACAGACTACAATGTTTACAAGTCTAAAGAAAATGATATTCAGCTTACTCACCAAGTTTGATATGGTTCTGTAACATCAATATTAAATTATCTTTTCTGAAATGTAGATGATAATGTGAAAAATGGGTAAATGTCTGGGTTCTTCGACTATCATCCTTATGCATATAATATAATTAGAATAGCATGGAGGTAAATCTATGCCTATCAAATAAAATTGAATAAAAATTTGTGGGTATATTTAGCCAGTGGGGTACTCCTCAGTGTTAAAAGATGATGACATCTTAAAATTTGCAGGCAATAGAATGTAACTAGAAAACTTCATCCTGAGTGAGTTAATACAGACCAGAATAATGAGGATTGTTTGTAGTCAATCATCGGCAAACAACAAATAAAGCAAACCTATAGTCCCCAATGCCAGACAAGCTAAGTAACAAGGAGAACGTAAGGGGAACAAACATTCATCCTTTGACAGCACCAGTTATTCCCCAGAGCATGTGGGGCACTGAAGACATCCACTAGGAGCTTGGCAAATCTGGCCTTTGTGCAAAGAACTCCCCATGTCCTGACACTGGAAAAAATTCATGATGTCTGAACTGGACAAGCATGATCAAAGAAAAAAGATTGCCAAACATTGATAAGATTGGGTAGGATGAATTTAAAATTTTTCCTGCTTCTGAAAATGGTCTGTAAGTGACAATATGTCTTAGAAAAAGTTATTTGCTTCAATGTTGAAAATGAAACTTTGGGTGAGAGCCTACATATCCGGTTGTCTTTGTCATTTATTGCACATTTGAAAGTTGTTTCTTTGTACTTCATTTTAATGTAATATTATTTTTCTCTCAATTTTTCAATAGGTTTTTATACTATGTAGGCATAGTTACATTCCTCTCATGACTTGGACAAGCCATTACTATTGTCAGACTTAGATACCATAGGAAAGAATATTTATTGAAATATTTAGGATAAATTTCTCTCTTGATATAGTTTATGATGTGTGCAACTCTACTTTTTGTTTTGTTTTTCAAGACAAGGTTTCCTGGTAACTCTAATTTTGATACTTTATATCTGTTCTTATTTGTATGTAGTTTTTCAAGGGGTTTAAAACTCTCTTATTTAAACAAAAGGGAGAGGTGCTCTGGGAACTCCTTAAGACAATGGCTTTGGATGCTGGACCACGTGGACATGGTCTTGGCATACTATAACAACAGATGAAGAAATATGCTCTTGCTCATTCTTGTCAGTCTGATTCTGTTCCCTGTTCTCTGCTCGTGCAGAGGACTGTTGATCTGAGAGGCTACCGCCAAATAAAGAATTCTTTATTATAATCTATGCAAAAATGATGTGGGACTATTTTATCATGATGCTCTAAAATTACAGTTTTTCCTCGACTGTAGTACACATTTCATCCAATAAGAACTTTGCTAATTTGAAGAACTTACTTGTTATGAAACATGGAAGATCCACAATTATTTATTATAAGATCCACAAATAATGATTAGGACATAGTGATAATCATGGTCACAAATTCATCATTAGTGTCTATTGAAATATAGGATCTAGCTCAAAAAGTGGAATATTTGAGGCAATTTCTAAAATTATTTCTCAGTTATCCAATTATACCATGAAAATCAGTTTTTTTCTTAACAAATGTTCTTTTCATCTTGTAATGCAATGGGAAATATCACAGCACTTTACACCATTATTACTCATGCACAGTTGTTCAAAGAGGTAAAATTTTGCAGTGTTTCTTCTAATTACACCTTATTAATACCTACTACTTACCATTATTCTTGGACTTAAAAATACTTCATGTCAAAAAGATGAACATGGGATGTACTCACTCATAATTGTGGTGTCTAGCCACAAATAAAGGTAACAGAGTGTATACCTGGTGAACCTAAAGAAGCTAAATAAGAAGGTGAACCCAAGGAAAAACATAGAGTTATCCTCTTGGCTATGGGAAGTAGACAAAATTGCCGGGGAGAAAATTGGGATCTTG